ATGGCATCCGGTGTGGCCGGTCATCTGCCCACCTGGCACAGGGAAGGCAGGTCACCATGCAGTAGAACAAGCTGCTTATTTGATATTATCATGAATGCTTTTGGTGGGCTATTTTGACTCTTACAAAACAATACTGCATCCTGGTCTTGGTACATAACTCGTGCCCAGAACAGCCTGAACGACACACGCTTGGTGGCTTTCAGCACATCTTGCCCATCCAGTCGACTGAGTCTGTCCTTACAATTAGCATGTGTTTAGAGCATGGCTGTGTAGACCTGACCCTCCTGCTGCATCCTCTGTCCCCTGGTCTTCTTCGGGCTCTGCAAGGTGGTATTGGGATTCCTGGGATCTCTGCTTTTGTCTGTTTCTCCTTTATCAAAGATTTATCTATTATTTAAAATTTGCTGTAAGGCATGTGTGCTCACCAGAGAGAGAAAGGGCAAGTGAGAAACTGCCAGGCCTGGTACTCAGACTGGGCTAGCCATGCAGGAGTCCAACACCTTAATCACCACGCCACTTGCTGGCCCTGGGATCCCTGTTTTAGTAAACTGAGTCTCAGAGAACTTACGTGGTCCTTAGGTCAGAGAGCTCCTGCCTTGTTGAAGCATTTCTTAAAATTCTTTTTTTGTTTGTTTTTATTTTTTTTTGAAAGATTTTTGCTGTAGAGCACAGGCCCTCCCTGGAGAGACAGAAAGCAAGAACTCACTCCCCAGGGGGGTTGCCCATGCCGCAGTCCCTTCTCCTCCCAGGATCTTGGGCACGCACGGACACACACACACACACACACACACACACACACACATGCCCAGTGTAAGTTTGAAGTTGCTGGGCCTGGGACTCAAGCCACGGTCTACTAAGTGGGAGTCCAGCGATGTAACTATTATGCCACCTGCTGGTCCCCAGCATTTCTTAGTTCTGATCGCCTTACTCTCAGTGTCATGATGCTGTGATTTCTACACAGTAGGGCTTACGGAGCTGTAGAACCTCTTCCTAGGAAACATCAGAGTAAACTGGAAGGTTTGTCAGAGTCACGGTTCCACCCTCCCTCCTGTCATTTTTTAATGCAGCCCCCACGCTCATGAGAACTTAGTGGAAAACAAAACATAAGAAAATACAGTAAATAAAACCAAGAGAGTAAGCGTCTCACTGATGATGAGCCTTTTTCCAGAAGGTACAGACCGTCAGTCCTTAACAGGTGACGTGTGACCAGCCTCTTGCACTTGGCCATGAGATGTCGACCGAGAGCGTGAGGCGCGGTATCCCTTCCGAGCCCGGCTGTGAGCTCGGTGGCACTGCAGGCAGGTTCCTATGTCACCGGGGCCTCTCCAACGGTAGCTGTCAAATGAAGGAGATGAACCAGCCTCTATCAGCGTCCTCCTATTTAAAATTCTTGGGTTGAAATATCATTTATATACCTAGTATGAGGAAAGTTAACTAATATTTTATTTACAATTAGTATTTTTAGTCAAATTAACTCTTAGTACCATTAGTTACTCTTGGTAACGTGACTAAAATTTAAGTCTTTTGCCAATTGGGTCGCTATATTTAATGCGTTTATTAAACTGCACGTAACAGTGAAAGTATGTCATATATGTAGTATCGCTCAATGGGCAAGCTAAGCATGGCATCAGTATTTTAAGCTTTCGTGCATTAAAAATAGAAGCCAGGGGCCAGCTGGTGATATGATGGTTAATGTGGCTGGATCCCACAAGGCCGACACCATGGTTTGAGTCCCAGGCCCAGCGGCTTGGAAAACCACACTGGGCATGTGTGCATGTGTGTCCAAAATCCCAAGAAGAGAAACGATCATGGTATAGCTGTTGCCCTAGGGAGGTGCTTTCTCACTTTCCCTCTTTCTCTCTGGTGAGTGCATGTGCCCTCTAGCAGATTGTTTTTTTTAAATGGAAGCAAGTTTCTGTGTGTATGTTTGAGAGAAACAAAGCCATCTGCTGCCAACTCTATTTGCAGCTGAAGATACGTTTAACAATCAAAAAACTCTCAAAAGCTTAGCCTGGATTTTCTACCATTAGTCGAGAGAGAACTGACAACTGAAACCACCCATTTGCACTGGCTAAACTGAAAAGAACTGACTGTATCAGTCATTGGTGAGGATCTGGGCGTATCACTGAAACTCATCCCATGGAGGTGGGGATGTAAAACGGTACATACCATATTGGAAACGTTTCACGGTTGCTTTGAATGTCAAGTACACATCTCCCGTATGACTCGGCCACTGTTCACTCCGTGCGTACCTGGAAGGAGAGCACAGGGCTGTGCACAGCTGTGGACAGCAGCCTGTTACGTACAGTGGCCCAGAGCTGCAAATAACCCAGATGTCCCCCCGCAGGAGGGTGCAGGGCTCATCTGAGGTACGCACCTACGGGGTTAGACTCAGCCATAAAGAGGAGGAGCTACTGACACAGTCACGTGGGTGCCCTCGGAGGACTACTGAGTGAGGGAAGGCCGACCCCACGAGGAGCCCGTAGGAAACGCCAGTTCATCTCCAGTGGCTGGAAGCAGATCGCTGGCTCCTGGGGAGGGAGGGGGGCAAAGGCATGGAGGACTTACGGGGTGAGGGAGGTGGTCACTGTCCCCCAGCAGTGAGCTTAATGGGCACACAGAGGTCTTTGTAAGCTCATGCGGCTTATTGTATGTTGGTTGTGCTTCTGTAAAGGTGCTTGGTGTGAAGGCCAGCAGAGGGCCCGCAGTAGCATGGTGTTTATGCGGCTAGATCCCGTATGGCCAACTCGGTTTGAGTGTCGGTCCCAACGGCTTGAAAATAACACTGGGTGCTTATGGGTGTGCCTGAAATCCCGAGAGAAGGATGGTGGAGAGACCCCAGTGTGGCTATCCCCCCCCTCCGGGGATGATTTCACAGTTTCTGTCTCTGTCTCTCTCTGGCAAGCACACATACCCTATAGCAAAGCTAATTTTTTTAAAAAAGTGAAAACAAAAGGACCAAGCCCAAGTACAGTCTCCTTTCCCAAATGGGGTTCTGGCACGGGAAGCCCTAAGGTGGCAGCCGTTGGAGCGGCTTCGGGGGGCCATCTCCTGACTCGTCCTCTCGCAGCCAAGGCAGCTGTCCTTAACAGACGTGTGGAAGAGGCCCGTGATGACGACACACCCCTGGGGAAGCTGGAAGCCTTTCCTCCGCATGCAAACCACTGCCAAGCCACCAGGGCCTGCTCGGTGTAATTAATTGTCTTTTTCAGTTCCCTGGATGGTGCCCAGAGCTCCGCGGGGGCTAATGGGCTTCCAGGAAGTAGGTGGGGACAGAGCCAGAGTGGCTCCTGCTGCTGTCCTGAGCGGTCCCTGCCCCGTGGGGTCCTGGAGAGGTGTGCGGTGGCAGGGGGGTGACTGAGTATTGCCCGTGTGCACTCCTGTCCCATGCGGGCTGAGCGTGGTGGCCTGTGGGTCAGAATCACTGTGGTGTGTGGTGTTGGAGTATCTCAGAGCGTCCTGGGCTTCCTGGTTTTCTGAGGGACTAGAGGTCCTGCCTCGGCAGTGGCTGGGTTGGCCGTCAAGGGATT